TTAATTATTATATTTGACAAAAAAAATTGAATTTCAAAAACAAAATATTGTAAAAAATAAAAATGTGTTATATTTAACATTTTTTTCAAAAGTTTAAGGGGTAACTTGTCAACCAGAAAGAATTCCGTTAGTACGAAATGTTTGTTTAAGTAAATCATTTTAAAATAAAATTAATAATTTATAAATCATTTTAAAAAAATAAATTATTTTTAAATTAAATTAAAATAAATCACATATTTAATAACTATTAAATATATGAAAAGGAACAAACTAATGTCCTTCACCATCTCAGTCTATAATTTTGGGTCCTTGGGTTTGGGGTGAAACGTCCAATAGGGATGGAAGAGCAGAAGAAGGAAGAGCAGAAGAAGGAAGAGCAGAAGAAAGAAGAGCATAAGCTTCCGATGGTCATAGCAGTGCAAACCCGTGAAAACAGCGGTAGTAGAGGCAGAGTAGCTGCAGAACTTGCCAATCATTTCAATTACTTCCTCGCTGACCACTATGATATCTACCCATTTCTTGAAAAAAATTTTGCGGAATCCCAACACCTTGATGATTTGTCGTTTAAAATTCTGTGTGAAATGGCTTTAACCCAAGTGGATCTGGAGATCGGAGTTGTCCTCAATGCCCCATTCAGCAATCCGGACCACTTCAAATAATTGTTGGATCTGTTCGACAAGGCGAACAGATCTGTCCAACCCACTGGAAATCGGAGTTGTCCCACCAGCAAGATCTTTATTCAATGCAGATCCCAACAAGGCGAAGAGAATCAACCGCAGTTGGAAGAGTTAAATGTTAGTGGTGTTCAAATACTGACTGTTGATCCCATGAATCTCTTCTTCCTGGAGGAACTGGTTTCTGCAATTCTTCCAGCTGAAAGAGAGAGGCACCTGCACGAGTTTCTCTTCTTCAGGGATACCAAGAAGGAACAGAAACTCGTTTGCAAAATCTGCAGAACTAGGACTTTGTCAGAGCCTGGCACCTTACCAGAGCCTAGCATCTCATCAGGGCCTAGCTATCAATGTGTTGAATGTGATGAGTACAGCTTCCATAAAAACTGCGCTGAGTCTGTAATAAAGGATTCCGAGTATCTTCGGAAAACAAACGATTTAGAGTATCTTCGGAGAAAGAGGCTTCCTAATCTTAGTGGAAGGGACCAGCCTGATTATAATCTATTTCCTGAGAAGCAGAAGTGTGAGATATGTCAGGATATCAACCTTGAAAATTGTCACGATTGCTTGCTCGAAACCAACATTAAAGGCAAATACCTGCCCATCATTCTCCATCATAAGATGCATGCACACCCTTTGAATCTCATCATCATGCCAATCTCATATCGTTACGAGTATGGATGCTGTGGTTGCAGTGAAATTGGCGAGTGTATCAGCTACAGATGTTTCGATTGCAACTTTAATCTTCATGTGAGTTGCTGCTTTTTACCAGAATCTTTCAAGCACAGAGCCCACCGACACAACCTCGTCATCGCTAGTCAATTTCAAGGGGATTATGTTAGGGA